TCTCGACGCGGACACGATCTGGTTCGACGCTTCCTAGACACTTCCTAGACACTCCTCCTCCCGCAGGCTCTCTCACCTCCGCTCCCTCACCTCAGCTCCCCAACCTCGCCCGCCGGCCACGCACCGCCGGCCGGCCGCCCTCTCGCTACCGCCCCGTCGGCACGGCCCGCCCCGCCCCCAACCCTTACCCCGTCCTCAAGACGGTCTACCGCGGTTCGTGCTCCAGTGATGAAGTCTTGTCCACAGGTTCGCCAACCCTTACCCCGTCCTCAAGACGGTCTACCGCGACCACGCCATCGTCGTTCAGGCCGACAACCCCTTCGCCAACGCCGGCCTCCTGTGGGCGCAGAGGGGGGCTAAGTACGAACGCCTAGCCGACTCGGAGCGTTCAACACGCGTTAGGCATTCTGTACGTGCAGAATGTGGCGCCCGGCGACAGCGCGGCGATCGAGCTCGCCTCCCCTACCCCCACGGTGCCCGAACCCATCCCCTACCCCCACGGCACCCGAACCCTAGGCGTGGGTGCTCGAGGAGCTCAACCGGCGCATCGACCGGTTCACCTATCGGCCAGAGTCCGTCAAGGAGCTCCCCTCCTCGGGCTGGTCGACGCCGCCGCATTTTGCGAATGCCGACGAGCAGGCCAGCCTGAGTCACTCTTGTTGTGATGAGTGTATCAGCCGTGCTTGAAGACTCTCACCCCATTCTTCTCCCTCTCTTCGCACTCTCATTCTCCCCACTCGTCCCATTCCTACGCCGGCGAGGTAGGCCAACCTGAACGACATCATCGCGTCGTCTCTCAACGGCGCCCCCACGTTTGCGGCCGGCGTCGAGTTCTACGAGGCCCGCTTCAAGAAAGACAAGGGGTCGCAGGAGGCGGCCAAGCGGATGCAGGACGGCCGAGAGGGACGCGCAAGCGCAGCCGCGCGCGAATCCTACCCTACCAACCCGGTACCCGAACCCATGCAGGACGGCCGATGGACGCGCAAGCAGCAGCAGGGCGATGTCGCGCCGGCGCGCCAGCGGCTCGTCCCTTTAGAAGCGGAATCTCTCCCCATCTCTCCCCATACCTCACCGTCTCTCCCCATCTCTCCCCATCTCTCCCCATCTCTCCCCGTAGTCTGCACAGTCCCGCCTTCCCGCCCCCGGACGTCGGTGTGTTCCGCACGCAGGCGCGTCTCGCTCACGCCAGACCACATCTCCCCATATCTCCCCATATCTCGCAGGCTCGTCTCGCTCACGCCAGACCATATCTCCCCATATCTCCCCATATCTCGCAGGCTCGTCTCGCTCACGCCAGACCATATCTCCCCATATCTCCCCATATCTCCCCATATCTCGCAGGCGCGTCTCGCTCACGCCAGACCACATCTCCCCATATCTCCCCATATCTCGCTGACTCGTCTCGGTCAATGCAGACCATCTCTCCCCATATCTCCCCATATCTCGCAGGCTCGTCTCGCTCAAGCCAGACCATAGCCTCGACAAGGTCGTCCACCTGTGCAAGATGGACTCGTGGGGCGCCGTCTCCGCCGCCCCGCTCCGCGTGCCCGGCAACGCCTCTGCGCCCGCCGCGTCGCCGCTGCAGCTGTGCGTGTCTCAAGGAAGTGATCGTCTGGTTCTTCTACTGCTTAGGCGCCCGCCGCGTCGCTGCTTCTCGCGCCCGAGTGGCTCTTCTCTCACTTTCCGTACGGCATCTTCTTCCCGGCGTACCGCGTCTGCCACGCCGCCTCGTGGGGGTGGGAGATAGGGGGAGATCGGGGGAGGTGGGTGGAGATAACGGGGGACAGGGGGAGGTCTGGGGGAAGGTGAGGGGGAGATCGGGGGAGGTATGGGGAGGCATGGGGAGGTGAGGATGGGGAGAGGGGGGGGTACGGGGAGGTAAGGGGAGGTACTGGGAGATATGGTGAGATGTGGGCCGGACTCGGCTGGAAGAGATTGGGAGATATGCGG